CAACCAAGCACACTCACATTCACACCTACGGACAATTTACAATCACCAATTAACCTCAGCATGTTTGTGGACTGTGGGAGGAAGCCGGAGAACCCGGAGAGAACCCACGCTGCACGGGGAGAACATGGAGACTCCACGCAGGAAGATCCCGGGTGTCCTCACCGGGACGCAAACCAGCGACCTTCTAGCTGTGAGGCGCTAACGGTGCTAACCACTGAGACACCTGCAGCCCGACTCAAAGCAATTAATTGATGATCAAACTCGCTGGTGATAATTTGCCACTAATTGATTATTAGCTTCACTACAAACCCAGCTGATGAATAATGAGCTCTGCTTTAGTTATTTAACTGCTGGCTTGTTGTTCTCAGATGCAGCAGTGTTCTGGCGCTACGTGACCACCATAAACACATTACAGGTTGTTTTCAGTGAGCTGCTGTCCAGAATTAGTGGTGAAATGAAATCAGAGCTCCATCATCCTCAGCAGCAGCAGCAGCAGCAGCAGCAGCAGGAGTCGACTTCATGACTAACAGCGAGTTAGGATCCATACAGACGCTGTTTTTCTGACTCATCAGGTGACTCAGCTGCACTTAAATATCCACAAAGGCTCCGAGGTTTCTGTTCCTGCTGCAGCAAAGTGTCCACCGGCTGCAATATTCAATCCGCACACTTCCATCTACAAAAAGCATTTTAAATGAGCCCATTGTTTGTTATGCTGCAGGGAATGTAAAGGGCCATTGTTGGGAGCTCTGTGGAGGGTTTGAGGTTTCCTCCCTCCTCCCGCTGAAACGCTATCAGCGGCAGGATATGACACAGTCCAGCGCTCGAGGTTTCGGTGGTCTTAAGCCGAGTGAAGTGCAAAGTCACGGCTGTGCAGGACAAGCGATGGGCTCAGAGAGGAGGTCTGCAGGCAGGAAGCAAAGTTCAGGGGAGCAGAGAATTAAGGCAGAGCTGCAGGATCAGGTTCAGGCAGCAGCTTTCTGTCAGGACGCTATCACAGCCAGAACGTCTACGGTTTACCCTGAAAACATCAGCTGAGCGACAAAACGACACGAAGACGCTCAACCAGCAAAACACAGCGACTCAGAGGAACCAGGGTTTTACTGTAGAAGCAAATCAAAGGTGTGTTTAACAGTTTGGACTCATGTTTCTGAGTTAAAACGACTTTTAATGACCAACACACGACATAAATCAGTGGAATTAGCTGTTCATGTGCAATCAGAGATATTTTTTATGATCGTTGGCATAAACACAAGTTTGTGAATCTAAGCTGCTGCTCCGTTGTTGTTATAAAGGCGGCTGAAGCTCCCAGCAGCAGAATGAGTGTGTGATGAGTGGTTAACAGCGTAACGCGTCTTTGAGTCGGCCTAGCCTAGAAAAGATTCATCTGATTAATTATTATTAAAAAGGAATTTTTGTGTTAAAGTGTGAACGGTGCTCTGTGACGGTGCATCGAGCCTCGTCGCTGTTTCACTCCTCAGTGGACAGTCTGGAGGTGAAACACATCAGTTACAGGCTCACAGCCGGCCGTCTGCTTTCTGCTGAAGTGAGAACATCTGAAGCTGATGAGACGGTTCTGGTGAAGCCACACGATGACTCAAAGAAGCATGACGCTAGTTCATCGTGTCAGCAGCTCAAGACGGCTCGGATCGGATTTAAACTGCTTCAGAAGTTGGTTCTCTTTGGAAACCAAAGACGTGGTCGTGTTCTGAGCCTTTGAGTCCTTCTGTTCCCGTTGACGTTTAGAGTTCAGCAGCTTCAACGGCGACATTAACGCCTAACTAATAGTAGTGATCGGTTTTATCTCTACGGAGGAAACAGAACAATGTGTTTGTTCTGTGGGAGGATCTGGAGAACTCTGTGGGGTTGGTGGTGAGGTCTGAGAGGACCAGGACAGGATCAGGGTCTGTTGACTTGAACCAGCATTATGGACAAGTTTGAGTCATTATGAACAACTTGTACGTTATCTTAGACCAAATTTTAACCACATGAACAATTTTTAAATCATTTTCAACAATATTTGAGTCACCGTGGAAACATTTTGCACCGTTTTAGACCAAATTTGAGTCATTTTAGACACTTTTTGAGTCAAGTTTCCATCTTTCTGTTTTTATTTCGGTGTAGAATCCAACAGCTTTAATGGTGACTCAGAGAGACCACGACCAGCAGGAGTTACTGGAACGAACTCAGCAGGAAACAGAACAGTGGAGGTTTGTTCTGTTAGACGTTCTAGTGAATGTTACGTCACTGATGGTGATGTTGGCAGACGAGGACACTGAGACCATGAAAGTGCTGCTTCATGTCCTCTCTGAGTTTAACCAATCAGCACTTTGGATGAATTTCAGTCATCGTGGACTAATTTAAAGTTGCTGTGGACCAATTTTTAATCACATGAACAGTTTTTGACTCATTACAAACATGTTTCAAACCAATTTAGACCAATTTATAATATTATGAAGAGTTCTGAGTCATTTTGGACACGTTTGGACCTCTGACCGCCCTCCAGGAGGTTCTACAGAGACGGTTCCAGCGGTCAGAACCTGCACAAAGATCCAGACCACCTTGAAGTGACTCAGAGGATTCAGTGGAAAACAGCTAAGAGGGGCGTCAGGTGTAAAGCAGCAGAACTGGTTCAGCTCTGATTCTTCAACCAGAACCTGACCGGCCGGTTCCTGTTGGACCTGAAACAGCTGCAGCGACGCCATCAGTCATAGTTTAAAGAGAAAACAATTAAAAACATTTTAAACACCATTTGTCTTCCAAGAACTCAACCGTACAACATCCAGATGTGCCTGAGAAGCTAACAGCTACAAACGAACAGAACAGAGTGTTTTATAGCCATTTGGACCGGTACGGTACTGGCACGTTGGAATTCTTTGTGCTTTGTCTCGAGCTAGCTTTATATATATACATACATGTAGGAAAAAAGAAAATAAAGAAAAGGTAAGAGGAGCAAAAAGCCCCCAAAAAACAAAAAACTGTCTAAAAACAAAAAAGCAGACATGATTAAAAGCACTTTGTACAGAACAGAGTTAGAAACAGAGACCCTGAGACGGTGATCGTGTCTTCTGAGGTGCACAGAACTTATACTGCACTTTGAGCTAAGATCTGCATCTTGCTTCTTTTCCTTCGTCTAAGTTGGGTTTAACGAGAACCAGCGACAGTCCTGCTGCAGACGGACGGAAACATCGGCTGGTTGACTCGGCGGATAAGGAACGTCTGCAGCAGCGAGTTTGTAGGAATACCGGTGTAGAAGAAGAAGAAGAAGAAGAAGAAGAAGAAGAAGAAGTGGTCTACCAGCAGATTACTGGACGCCTGATAACACAAACACAAGCCTTTTAGCTTCTTCCACCGTGTTTGACGACTTCCACAGTGTTTGAATAGAACATCCTTCATTAGTCCCACAGGAGAGACGCCAGCGTCACAGCAGCACAGCGACAATAAGAACACAGGTAGTCACACCAGAACGACCACAGCCACAGTAAACACGGTCCAGACGCCATTTTTTGTTCTGGTTCAGGAAGTGGCTCCAGCTTCCTGATGACATCACACATATCCGGTCAGCTGTGATTGGTCAGTTACCACGGTGAGGTCAGTTAGAGCTTAAAGTCCACAGCGAGCGCCGGATCGGACCGCTGAGCCCGGAGGTGCTGTTCATACCTGATGCTCTGCTACAGTCGCCGCTCTGATTGAATATCGATCGGCTCAAACACGAAGCCACAAACCAGAGATTGAACATCGTCTCTGCACTTCTGTCAAGGGTCAGTTTGAAATGAGTCATCGGTCCGGTTCTGGAGCAGAGAAAACACTGAAGGAGCTTCGTTTGTAGGAGGATCAGTGGCAGAATAAGAAGAGAAGGAAAATCAAACCTGCTCTCACCTTCACTGCCTTTTATTTCTCATAAAAATGTAACTTACAGACGAGTTGTGAGAAGTCCTGCTGATCAGAAGCTAAAATAAATCTGTAGAATATCAGGGAACTAGCTGGGAGCTCATTACTAGAGTTTATATCATGAATCTGTCAGCAGCTAGAAAATAAAATTAAAGAATGTTTTCTGACCATATTATTAGTGAGTCTATAGGAAAAACACATTTCTAATTATTTTTTCTTTTTAATGGCTCATTGATGAAAAACAGGACATGTCTGTGTTGTTTTTAGTAAATCTATAATAAATATTGGACATGTTCTGTGTTTTAATGTAAATTGTCAGTGTAGAAACTTTAAATGGTATTTTTTGGGTTAATATCTGAAGAAAACAGGAAAAACCTATTAAATAAAAGTAAAATGTTAAAACAACAAATAAATAATTTTTTTTTTTTTTAAAAACAGCTAAAATTTTTTAATTAATCCATAAAATCAGTTTATCTATTTGTTCAGTATTATTAATTACAGTACATCAATTTTTAACGTTAATTTTTTTTTAGATAAAAATGCTATTTTTAGGATATGTACTACATTATTATTTTTTTGTTAAAGAATAAAATCAGGTAAAAACTCTCTCAGTGCCATTTAATGAGCTTGTTTAATTAAAATTCTAATTAATGCATAATTAAATTGATGTAATTAACTTCCGTATTTAATCAGAGCTGGGACCTTTCAGGATGCTTCAGTGTTTTATTGCAGCTTTTGTTCTTATTTTTCTCTCATAATTAAAACTTAATTAACGCAGCATTTGTTTGTGTCGTCACGTGCTGCAGCGGCCCTCGACCAATGGCAGCTCACGTCACGGTGTCGTCACGGCCTGATCACCTGTACACCTTTCAGCCCAGTGTGTGTGTGTGTGTGTGTGTGTGTGTGTGTATGTCTCTCTCTGTCTGTCTGGAGGGGGCGTGGCCGCTCCGGAGCCCCGCCCCCTCCGGACACGTTTCCCGGGGAGCGGCTGCACGCGCCGCCGGTCTCCGCCTCCCGGTGCTCGGCTCCGCTCCATGGTTCCGCTCCATCATCAGTCCGCTCGCTCGGTCGGCGCGTCCACACGCACACTCACTCACACGCACCGCGCGTCCTCGGCTCAGCGGGACACACACGCTTCGGCGGCGGCCCGCGACGCTCCGCCGCACCGGCTTCACCTGCCCGGTCCACCGGAGAGCCGCGGAGCGAATCGGCGGGAGCAGCTGCGCAGCGACGCCGGAGAGGAGCTGCTGTCTGCGGGGAGGAGGGCAGCTGTGAGCCGCTGTGGGGCTGCGGAGGTGCGTTGTGTGATTGTGTTGTTGTGTACTGTACGTGTGTGCGCGTGCGTGTGCGTGCGGCGGCTCCATGTGTCTGATGTGTGCGCGTTACGTAACGCTGGAAGCAGCTGATTATTCAACCTCCGCACTGACTCACTGCTGCTCATCCTGGAGCCGCTGCTGCTGCTGGAGCTGCCCGGTCCGGGAGCGGCTCGGTCCGGGAGCTGCCCGGTCCAGGAGCTGCTCGGTCCAGCGGCTCAGTTTGTCCGCAGACATGAACAGTCCGTCCATAGTTCTGCTGCTCAGGTGTGAATGTTTTCTCATCAGCACCAGACCTCAGAGTGTCTGAGCTGCACCGCTGCTGGTCCCGGTTCTACTAAATGGTTCTTCACTCATGGACCTGGTCTTTGTTGTTGTTTCTCCATCAGCTCAGAGCTTTAACATTTAGATCACCGACACTTTAATCCTCAGACATGAACATTTTGTCAGTGATTCTTCTCTCTTCAGCACCAGGTTGTGGTTTTTCTGCTGGTTTTACTTCCTGGACCAGGTTTTAGTTATTTATGCAGAATTTCTTTACATTTATTTATTAGTTTCTCATTTTGTAAAGAAGCCAAAGAAAGTTCTGTTTGGTGCTTTTCTGAATATTTTTACTGGATCGATGGTGTTTTATTGTCAAATATCAAATCTATGACCAGAACTCTCAGAACCAGACACTCCAGGTCTGAGCTGCTGCTGGTTCAGGTCCGACGTGGACGTTTAGTTACTGATGCTGCAAATATGTTTCCTTCACTTATTGATCAGGTTCTACGTTTAGTTAATTCTTCATCTAAAAAGTCCATCAACGTTTCTGTTTGGTGCATTTTAAACATCTTTTTACTGGTTTAATGAGATTTTATGGTCAGAACGTCTCCTGCTCAAAGTTTAGTTACTTGTTTCTAAATTGATCCGTTTTCTTTACTATTTATTTGATTTTTTTTTTGTTTATTTGAAATCAAGACACCAAAAAAGTCCAGAAACTCTTCTGTTGTTGTTGTTTTAGCGTTTTTCATTTATGTTTAATGAATTATTTCAGTCGTTATATTCTGATGTCTGAGCAGCGTGTTCACACCACCGATAACTTATTTCTGTGGTTTGGTTGTTTCTTCGTCACCAGACAGTCTCTGACTTGTTCATTTCAGTTTGATGCTATTTCCTGGCGTGTATTTAGCGTGTTGTTGTGAACACGTGTCCCTGCAGCTCCGTGATGCTCTGCTGGCCGACCGTCCAACATGTCCTCCTCAGACTCTGACTTCTCCGTCGACTGGCTCGCCAGCGACGAGGACGACTACGACGAGACCCGAAGTCCGGACCCGGAGCAGCAGCTGCCCTCGTCGTCGTCGGGATGCTGCTGCTGCTGCTCGGCCGCTGAAGACGCCGTCCAGCCGCTTCAGGGATTCACCTCCGTCTGCTCGCAGCTTCCTGTGGAGGCCACTCGTCGTCCGGACAGGAAGAGGAAACACGGCGAGGACTCGGACGCCGGCAGCGACACCGAGAGCGAACTGTTCTTCCACAAGGTGAGACGCCGAAACACACAGAAGGATTCTGGGTAAAAACAGCTCAGATCAGACAGTTTATGGTCCTGAACGTTGTTCTGGACAAAATGAGATGAGTTCACGTCCAGAAAGCGTTTCACATCAAACCCAAAGAACGTGGACGGACCTGCTGCTGTCTGAGGAACCAGAACTTTAAACAACCAGTAAACAGAAAGATTAGAGACGCAAAACAATCAAGATGTGACGCAAAACGTCCAAAAAAAAGAAAAACAAACCAAAAGTAGAAGCGAAAGAGACACGAAACAGAGAAACTGTCAAACGATGCAAAATGACTGAAAAATGACCAAAAAGAGACAAAATCTACAAAAAGAGAAATTAAATGAGCAGAAATAGACAAAATGTTTATTTAACTCACTGAACACTTGACTGATGTCAAAGAGGTCGTCTGAGTTTAAACTTTACATCCAGCATGAAGACAAACAGCAGCCGACTGAGGTTCACTCAGGAGTCGATTTACTTCCAGAAATCAGATGAATCTGTGCAGCTGCTCCCAGTTTAGTGACATCAGTTCAGTAGAAAGTAAAAGATGCAAAAACAAACTAATATGCCCCAAAAAATCCTCACAAAAAGGCAAAATCAAATAAAACTTAAGTCTCACTAAAAGACAAACAGTTACCACGACGGAGGCAAGACGGTGAAACGCCTCCACGATGATAAGAAAACAACCTGCAGGAGGCAAAACGTTCAGACTCAGAATCACTAAAAATCACACAAAAAAAGATGTGAAATAACCACAGACACTAAAACCCAAACAAAACCATCAGAACCAGCAAAGAGAACAATCTGAACAAAACCCAAACATCTACGAACTGATGTGACGTCACCACAGATCCTCCAAGAACATCCACAACAGGTCCAATCCTGAGAAAGGCAGAAAAAAAAACTACAACTAAAGAGGCAATGTTCAAAAATGTGTCATGAAGAAACCAAATCACCAGAATTCATCACAAGTTATTGATCTCTGCTGATCAGAAGCAGCTCTGGTCTCATTTCTATTGATTAGATGTTGACTCTATAAACACAAACACTGAGTCCAGCAAAGGATCAGTTCCTCAGCCTGGTTCGCCTGGCGTGGACTCGCCCGGCGTGGACGCGGTCACCTTGTTCTGACCCGGCCTCTCGGGTCAGCTGGATGGAACAGAAACCGGTTGTCTTTGGGGTAAAGCAGCTCGTTGCTTCGTAACGTAAACGAACACAACAGAACGGTGACAGAACAAAGGAAGATGGTGGATGCTGCTACAAACCAAAGAACAAAACAAAGGCTAACGAAGGCTAACGAAGGCTAACGAAGGCTAATGAAGGCTAACAGAGGGTCAAAGCTAACGAACAGAAAACTAAACTCCTGAAATCAGCAACATCCACACATAACAGAAACTAAAACAAACTGGTGCCTCTGAACACACACAGTATAAAAACAGGAGTAACTTCTTCATGAAGTTAGCAGCTAACGGGAGTCAGTCTTCACCAAGACTCTCAGACTCCCACCGAGTCAGCAGAAGTTCTGTTACAATAAACACAGAAGACCCAGACGAGCGGAACCAGGACGGACTGTTCACTCTAAATCCCAGCCAGCCCGACTGAGAGGCTGCTGGTTGCTTTTATAGCCAGGTGTGGTGACTGCTGGGTGGAGGAGGAGTGGTGCTGGTCCAATCAGATGTGACCGGAGGCACAAAGAACAAGGCTGGTGTGGAGCTCCAGGGCAATCAGTGCTGATGTCTGGCAGGTGTGGTTCTGGAGCGCCGGCTTCAGCTGGGCCTTCACAGGACATCTTCCACAGCACAAACACTAGAGGCCGTAACAACCTGTGGACTCACCTGGAGACTCTGTTAATTGATCACAGAGCCTCAGATCGGAGGACGCCGACTGAGTTCATATCATACTCAGTAACTGGATCCTCTGGTTCTGATTCCAGATCTCCTCATGTATCCGACAGTCATCATCAGCTGTCATGTTCCTGTTAGCAACTTCATGCTAGCAGACGTTTAGCTACAGTTTAACACCGATAATGTGATTGGCTGTAATCAATCACTGAGCTGAGGATCAATAAGGCTGATGTCACCACGAAAAGACACAACATCACCAAAAATATGTATAAAATCTCTACAGAAATTAAAAAACCTGAAAAAGAGAAAACAAATCACCACAAAAGGAGGTGAAATTTCCACAAAAATTAAAAAAGTGACAAAA